TTAAAAAACACTAGGAGTTACTATCGCAAGGAAAGTGCTGCCTCAAACTCGACGGGAAAATGACTTGGCACACATTGGGCTATTCCGAATTAATGTTTAAAGGCATAAAGGGTTGATAACGTGATGACGTCATTATAAGAAATGTCTATTGGAATTTGTATTATTATTAATGGAATTTATTCTTATTTTTAACGTATTTGATACCCGAAACCTAAAGGAAAAGTATATGATCCCCTTACAAAAATGAATATAATCATGAAATATTTCTTGTGCACTTACCCGTCCATCTTTATCATCTGGCGAATCAAAGCTATCTAAAAACGTTCTGAAACATTGCTCTTCCGTCCACTCCCCATTTCGGTATTTCGGATGATGCTTCACATTATAGACACTACGAAAAAGGAAAAGATCTTAGTTTGCGAAACATTTTCTCGTTTTTGCCCAAGCCAGCAATAAAAGTAGTTAAACTAACGCGGTACAGTCCGTATGTAAACATAGCATGGTGATTCAAAGTGTTGTCATACATTTAAAATTACAATGGAAATATAGTAAAAATAAATATAGGTGCATAATAGCAAGTATGGCAGCATCGAGTTTGAAAAATGAAAAAAATTGGCCTTTATAAATATTTACATTTTAGTTGAATAAATATTTACACATCAGATGATTTAAGAACATTGTAAAAATATGGGTGTTCGGAACGGCAACGCTGCAACCACAACGGCAAACAGAACATGAAAAATGTCAATGGCTAACTAACACGACTAAAACATGTCCTGTTTGTTGTCCTTAATATTAAACCAATCCCCAGTGGCAGAGATGAGGCTGAGAGTTAACAGTGACAATATGTACGAGACATATATGGTAATAATTCTTACTGATATGTTTGCTTAATATATTAAAGCTTTGTAATGTAATTTTAAAATTTTAAACAAAAGCACAAATTAAAATTCATGGAACAATTTTACAGGTTGCATACAACGTTGCAATATGCATACTGAGTATACTGAATTTTATAGAAAAATATAGGATTTCACTTACCCTCTGAGATCCTCAATAGTAATATTTCCATCTCCTGTTTTATCCAGCTTTTTGAATGCTTCATTAATTACTCTTTTTCGAGCATTGCTCATTGGTGGCTAAAAGAATAATGCATGTCTGAATAATTACTGCCGTGAGGGGATTTTAAAAATGCTTTAGTTAAGGTGGCTCCCTACAGTTTTGATTGTACAGCACACAATTGTATTCAAAAAACCATTATTTTATCATCTTGCAAAGTATGATCACGAAACTTGGACACATAACAACTACGATATCGCGAATTACGAATAAGGAAAAATGTCGTTAAAATCCCCGTTGCCATGGTAACAAAGCGATTTTAAAAAGCGATTTTAAAAATTTGCAAATTCTTTGATAATTTTTTGAAAATTTCTTCGGTAAAACTTTTTAATTTTTTGCCCACAGTAATCTTATCTATAATTTCTTCAAATGATAGCATTTAAAAAAAATCGTTACGAGAATTTTTTTTTAATTCTCAAAAAGACCTGTTTTTGGAATAAAAAAAATTTGGCTCGTACGATTTTCTTAAAACTTGCACATTTTACGCACTTCAAGATTACAGGAAAGTGTGTGAAGTTTTAAAAAATTTTACCGAAGGAAACACGAGAAAAATACATTTATTTTTATCTATGTGGCGTCACAAAAATCAGGATTTCAATTTCCTTGCGCGAC